ACGAAGCTGCTGGTGGAAATCCGAGGGCAAATTTTGCAGCGTCATTAAAAGAAAGCCAAGAAGCAAATTTCCGATGGTTGTCTCTAGCAACTGCATTTGAGAGTGGCTGTACTTTTAATGGGTTTCTATTTAAATACAGTATGCGCTGGCATTCCTATCCAAAGGATATTTGTCTTGTGTTCACAGCTGGACAAACCGTCGATCCTAGCTGCTTATGGTATAGGCCATTACGGGTTAAAGGAGTCCGTGCGCCAATTGGAGTGCAGGGGTACCTCACAGAAGAGTTTGAAATTGTATTAGCGAGTTCATCCATCCACGGTTGCTATGTTTGCCAGCGAACAAAGGCCAGTAAACAAGGTAGGCCGCTAGAGACATCAAAGGGATTCGACGAATCGCTGGTTGAACAATCCAAAACCCTACACGCTCTTAGAGACGGTGTCTGGGGAGCGTAGGTGGTCTCGCCGCTAATGAAGCCAACCTTTGAAATTGGGTTTGAAAGTGGAGTTTGAGATTGCGGTCTTTGTCAGCCGCTTTGCTACACAAATGAACCATGTTCTACGACGTCCAAGCCTGGTCCTATAATGTTCTTTGGACAATAGGTCCTTGAATCAGTTAGCAGTACGGAGTGGAGCGAACTAGGTACCATATGAAACCCAATCGATATATATGTGCAGTTTAATCAGAACGGCTAGAATAGATTCCGGTAGCTCGATCAAAACCTGGTAAGCGAGTCCAACTTGAAAAGTATTAAATATGGCCTTCCGAATTCCTATAAGAATAAATACACGTAAGCCGTTATATAAGAGCAGGGCAAGTGAACTATTTCTGTTTTGATCTGTGTTTCTACACGAACACATATACATATATATATGTTCGGCAGGTTCTGGCCTGTCTTTTTTTGTAAAAGGATGCTATCAATGTTTTGATCATACAGTGACTTCTTACCTAAACAACCTGCCTTTCGACCGCATTCGACATTCATTATTCTATTCCTAGTACGTTAAGAGCAGATTACTACGCCAAAGAAAGGTTTATTTATTGTCCGTTGTAGGCACAGGTTTGCAATGATGGCTGGCGGTAACAGTCCACGCACGAGTGAACTAGCGATCCTACTGTAGAAGGTCTAAATCGATATGCGGTCCTGGTCAAGGCGACAAGTATGCATCATCATCTTGTCAATGAAGCCAGCTCTGTCCTTTTTCCCAAGGGAGACTGTTATATTCTGTCGTAAGCGGAAGGTCTAGTTAGTCCGCTTGGATCTTTCGTCTAGTCCGAGTAGTGACGTACCCGGGAGGAAAGGTTTCGTCCAGACGAATTTAAATATGGCTACTTTGCCAATGCACGAAAATTGCCAACACGAGATTATGTAAGCCAGCGGCCAGCGCACGTGACCGGCTGCGCTGACAGTCAGTTTTATGAAAAGAACGCGGTTTTGCAGCACTACTATAGTAATAGTAATATATATATATATAGCATGTATTCTATGTTTATCTTACGGTAACAGCATCTTCATAACAAATTCTCTGGCGGACTTACTGACAACGCTTAGTTGAATTCTCCGAATTATAATTTAGAGAGCAAGTGAACTAGCTGACAAAAACCCTATAAAAAGCCTTACAGAAAACGTCTTTTATCACGAGCGAAACTTTACTGATTGCAACAAATCGTATTGAGCCAGCTATAAATGCTAGAGACGGAATCGTTGCCTTGTCTACTCGGTCTGTTATACGTCTTATTCCATCGATGGTGGGTGTGTTGAAGGTAATACATTGTATTTACTAAGTTTTTCTTTGAAAATTGGGCTTGGGCGGAGACCCCAATGTCGTTAGGAAACTCCCTTGGCTTTCATGGCCAATTGAGAAGGCATTATGGCAGGGGGTCGTAATAGATACAGGATGTTATTACGTTTTGTCTTCCGAATTACATTAGTTCGGCACCGTCTGTTGTGACCTTGAAACATAGGGCAAACAGTGGTAATCTAGGTCTTCACATAGTGTTTTTCTACGGCAGGTCCTTACATTGAACGAGTTATCATCTTGGAAATAACACTACTATACTTAGGTGCGACTATGAGCCATCCTATTGATTACTTTTCTATTTGATTCGTTTAAAAAATGAATAAAGGTATTGTTGGCCATCTTTTATACGGGATGAACTGCGCGTTGATGGGTATCTTAGGGCGGTGTCCGTCCTTTTTCAGCTAGAGAATTGCTTGTATCACTAGCAAAATGATTCGGGCTTACCACCGGGGAATCGCCGTAATTGTTACACTAGCCACATACCGCTTATTCTGTAGTTCTTTGCGTCCCTATTATTCTGCACAGTAGTTCATCCCGTTGATTTTTGCTAGACCTCTTTACGCATTGCTTTAAATTTCTATCAGGTTTCAATCTGTTCTATGATCTCTGCCAGAACGTATAATGTCTGCCATAGCATATATCTGATGGATAGCGGCAGTTGCGGCCGTAAAGCCTAACCTTAGCAGGTGCTATGAGAGAGACGTTTATCACCTGTTAATATGAACCCCTAATAGCCGATCCTGTCTAGTTACTAAGGAATAAGAACACAACCGGTGTAGTTTGCCAATGATATATGTTTATTGATAACCACATCATCCTCGTTACTGTTGTTAGATGTCTGATTTTTTTTATTACGTTGTTATTGGTTTGTCTGCATGTTTATATTGTGCACCAGTTGAGCATATTTAGTTATGTAACAACGCGTATCTTCAGTCCAGTAGTTCCTCCAGTCTACTTAGGTATCAGTCATTGGTCGCCCTTTTCTGTCCCTGTTCCAAAATGATATCCATAACGAAATCCATCGTCCACACGTTGCCGTTTGCTTCACGCCATTGTTCTTTGTTTGATTCGGCCACGGATAGGTAATCAGTTTCTCAGCTCAGATCGACTTGGAAGTATGTCTTCTTTCGAGTTCGTATTGAGTTAGGTTCGCCTACAATAAATTTCTAACAAGCGGCTGTCCATTGCACCTTTCATTTACTTCATTATCTGTGTTCTCTTTTGTTATTATAATATATTTTATTTGCTAGTGTTCGTCGGAGAAAGAAACGACAAACGAGTGAGTGAGTGTTTAGCTGTATTAATAAATCTATGTACAATGTTTGCGCCAGCATTATTATCGCGTGCACACACGCAGGTGCCTCACCACGATTGTGTAGTTCTATCTTAGCGTGTGTACGTGTCCAAGCAAGAGCTAAAACCCCTTAAGGCTGTACGGCCTGACGACATACCACCTAAGACCGCTAGGACGGGCTACCTTGCTGAGGGTGTGATTTTCGCGTTCATCTCCTTCGATCGTGTCCTCCGTTGCAGTACAGCAATCGTGAGGGGTTACTTTCGCATGCCGTGGCTTCACCATACAACTTCTCATCTCGATAATGAAGAAGGATATATAGTCTTTAATTTTTACCTAAGTATTTCGTTTTTACCTTTGGTCGCTAGCATCTTCTGTCTATGATTGATCGCTTCGTCGTCATCTTCCACCAATATTAGCGATTTCAGCATCGAATCGTGCTTGCTTACTCAATCCAAACATTTGATTCTGTTTTATCGCTTATCGGATTGCGTATCAGCTCTTCTTTGCGCCATACCTCGTAACCGTAGATGTTATCAGTTGCAATGTTTCTCCAGTATATCGTCGTGAATCAATTCTAGTTAATGGTGTTTTTCTCGTTCATTCGCCTCCCATACGAGATAGTTCAATGATCAATGGACATGATGCGTTGGTTAGTATTTCGCGCACCAACATGCAATTTTATGTATATTTATATATAGGGCGCTCTCGTACTTGTCGCCGCCGGCACCGCTATCAGCTCCTCTATCGGTTCAACATTGTACGCATGTGATCTGTATGTGTGTGTGTGTGTGTGTGTGTGTTTGTATTTATTAGTTAGTTAGGTTAGTGTCCGCAGTTACAGATTACGCTATCATTATAATCTCATTATCAGTTATTATTATGTATGACTTCCGCCCATCCTGTCACCCTGCGTTTTCGTAGTTCATATCATCTCATGCCGTCATAAACAGTACGAAATAACTGTGAAAACACCTCAACCGATATTTACAATGTTATAAAAATAAACATTAAAAACACAAATTGCTTAGTCCACAACGCCTCACCGTTTGTTTATCGTCAATCTCCAGTTTTTTTTTTCTGTGTGTTTAGCTGTTCTACCGTCATTCGAATCGAACGATCGTTTATCTCCTCCAAAGGACAGCAGCTGTTGTTATTGTCGTAATAGTCTCAGCGTTACCCGATCAAGCGCTTTATCAGTCTGAAAAGTTTCTGAGTAGCACCAGTTAGGACGGTAACGCATTCGCGTCCGACGACCCCCCACCGTTCATTACATGACGTTGTTCGTAATGAGACTTTGCGCACGAAACGAGAGCTACGTCTTCAGTAGGTTGTGTATTGATGTGCGAACGACGTTCGAGACTTCAATGGTGCCTAATGACGCGGCCGTGAGAGTCTGCTACTGATTTTCAATTCTTGTTGAAGAAAATAGGGGATGAGCATGCTTTAAAAAGCAGTTAATTTTTTATAGTGATCTAGCGATGCTTAGTGTTAAAATCTATGTATAGAATTCCGCTTATTTTATTTGATCGCGCTTTAATTATGCGAAATCGTCGTCGATAGGTCTTCCTGCTAGACGAAGGGAACAGATTAGTCGTAATAAACGTGCGATAATGATTTTCTTTTCGACCTGCTAAACGACCTATTTGTATATGTGTGCAGAAGTGTAGCGTACGTGTGCGTGTTAAGAAAAATGCCTATTTGAGTTTAGTCAATCTAATTCGTTTCTATACTGGCTATTTTTATCACTCGTAATGTCACTATCATCACCATAATCTTGGCGCACAGCTGTCTCCTTTAGCAACATTCTATAGTATATATATATATATATATATATATATATATATATATATATATATAGGCAATAACAACTGCAACAAAACCATAGTGTTCTCATCATTCGATCTGAATATATATATATGTATATATATTCTCATACATTGTCGTGACATCTGCTTGCTTCCCTTAGAATAGTTCGTGTTGCTTCTTACTTAAATTATTATTATAATTATCATCAGTATTTATGTTTATATCACAATCGTATCACATTCGGGTCCAACCGTTCCCTGGTCCCAGCGCATAGGACCAAGGCCTTCTCGTCTACAAGAAGCCGTCCGTAGGGTATCGCAGGACAACTTCTTAAAAATACGTTCCATAACAGTCCCTAAACACTCCACTCTTGTATACAAAACGGGGAGAGTTACCCGTGCAGTATGTAACTGTACACGTTGTCCTCCCGCGATAGAATAGAAGCGATTATTTTTCAAGCGGTTCGCTCCTGCTCATGGCTTTCAACCTATTAAGCGAAACGCAAAGCTTAGTCGGAGGTTAAGTTTCGATTTGATACGTGAGCGCTATGATGCCAAACGGTTGCCGAGTTATCTTTTATTCATTGTTTCATACGTAAATGTGGCGAGTTTTCTGTAACGTTACGTTATGGGTTGAAGGGATGGGGCGTATGCATGTGAACGGTATTCATACTACAGAAGTCAGGTTCGCTTAGAGGACATTATCATCCAGATACAGGTTGCTGTTCGTTTAACACTCCGATGTTATACACCAAAATCATCCAATTCGTTAGTGCGTGTGGCATTTTTTCTGTCTTATGCCGAGTCTGTTTCTGACATTCGGACTCTTGACGGCTTTCGTTCAGGCCGGAGGTGGGGGGAGCCGGTCGCAGTGTTTCACACTACGACGGGACGCTAATTACAACAATCACGTTCAATCAGTTGGATCTTTCCAGGTTATTAGGGTCTTTCTGTACTCACCTTTACTATCACAGAAAGGTTCATCAGCCCCGTTAAGTTTTCCGAGTGTCGACGCTTGACCCTGTCCTTCGTTTCAACTATGTATCCGGCGCTTTTTTTGCAGGTCCTATTCACTGTTTTCACATTCCCACTGCATTGCTCCGTAGTGGTTCGCTAGGAAACAAGCTCGACTTAACTTCTTCTTATACGTAGCACAAGTTTCATCAATCAGCCGCGTTTATTATCCGGACAGTTTGTTGAGTTAACGAGGGCTTGCTGGGCAGGGCGCAGTTGACTAGTGGATCTTGTGGGTAATGCCCAAAACGTTCAGACAACCAGGAAGGGAGCTGTAGTTCAGGGATTTATTTTTCATTAGGACCCACGTTTTTGCACAGTAACACGTTGATTTGCTGTAATTATCATCGTAGCAATTGGCATACGGTATCTCAGTATTTCTTTGCTATCTTCCTTCACTTCATAGTGGCTTCTCCTTCTCTTCCGTCGTTGGTTCCCTCTTTATTTTTGAGGCAAGGGTTTTTCACGGTATGTATGTTTGCGTGTGTGCGTGTGCCGGGATCAAGTTGGGAAGTGCGAAATTTAGTGATTAGTAGTAGCTATGTATGATGAAGGGTAGTTTTTTCTTTGAAGCCTCCTTCCTTGCTTCCTGTTTTCTGTCCATTAGACTTTGTCATGTTCAATTTACCGATGTGACCAATCGTGAATTTCGTAGAGGCGTCGGGCTCTGTCGGAGTTCCAGGTATGGTTGTTTGGTCATTACGTCGTTCTATGACTGGACGTTATTGCTTCCGACTCGACGCACCGTCTCCGAGTGTCGCGTGCGTTAGCTGTTCCTCTGGGAGGTTCATCTCGTGATTGGGGGGTGTAGATCGATCAAAAAAAATACCAGTAGTTGCCAGTAATTATAAACAATGTTGCTTTTTTTTGGAAGAAGTGTTTTCCAAGTTGTCGTTTGATGAAGTGTCATCGATTTTTGGTTAACTTTTTCTGGTTTTCACACAATCACAGACGCGCTTACCGATCAACGATGCGTATTCGAGCGTGCTGACACATGCTTCCAACTTTTATTGTGCCTATTTCTATTGTTGTATTGATGCTCATTCAGATATTAGAATGCGAGGCCAGTACGAAAAAGTGCCTCACAACTGTTAGGAAATACACCACATCTTGAGGACTCTGATCTCTTTTTTTTCGTATCCATCTATCATTGGGTGCTAAATTATCTTTGGTGTTGTTTTTTCGTCTCGTCATCTGTACGCGCTCCGGTCGTGCTTGATTGTATTCCAAGATGTCCTTTTCTCTCAATAACACACACATATACTCAATCGTGAATTCTTTCGTCGTCGTTCCCGATGTTGTCTAGGTGTCTTAAGTTCCCTCAGCTCCTCATTGATCATCAGTTCTTCAATAGCTCGATGGTTGCTTTATCTTCGGCTTTCATTATGGCCGGGTCGGTATGAATTCTCGTTGTCGTTCTCACACTTCCGCCTGTCGTTGACGCCGTCTAATGGCATCGTGTTGATGTTTGTTCGTGTAAGGTGGTTTGCCGCCTTCACCAGTTCCGCCGATTCCGCTGTTGTTGAACATCTGCGAATCCGTAGCATCGTTGCCTCTGCCGAAGTCGCATGGTTTTTCGAAGTAACTCGCACAGCCACGCAGTCAACTCTGTACCACAACGCTGTGTTGGCGCTGAGATTGCATTTGCTGCTCAAGCTGTTGTTGTTGTTGATGCTCCAGATGAATGTGCTGTTGCTGGCTATGACGCAGATGATTACTGTTGCTGCTGCTATTGTTGTTGTTGCTGTCGCCGCCGCCGCCGCCGCCGTCGTCGTGGCTACGACCATCGCCGCCGTGGTTAGTTGCCATGCTGGTGTTTGCTTCACAGTTTCCGCTGCTGTGAATAATATTATTTATCGCGTTATTGTTCGTTGAATGGTTTATTTGTATTGATTGCATTTGCTGCAGCTGTTGTTGTTGCTGCAGCTGCTGTTGCAGCTGTTGCGGGGGGCTTGGCGACGGGCTGACCCGAAAAGGGCTAGACGGTCTGGCCTTCTTGTGTCGCAGGATTGCCGGTTGCAGCGGAAGCTGCTGGTGTGGCTGCTGCGGGATTGCCTGCTGCTGGGGCTGCATTGGCTGCTGCTGCTGCTGCTGCTGCTGCTGAGGGTGACAGCCATTATCCGTACCGACATTGTGAATATTGGCAACGACATTGGGGGCGGGACTAGAGGCGCAGCTGTCTATCAAGCCACTGCCACTGTGGCTTGGATAGCTGCTTTGCTGACTACTGTTGAGATTATGACTACTCAGGTTATGATGATTGTTACTACTATTAAGACGGTTAGCGCCACTGCTACTGTGGGTAGCTCTACTGTTAGCGCTGTTGGCATTATGATCAGCATTATTGCTGCACACCTGCGCATCCGAGGCCGGCTGCACTAACGCCAAGGGTCGAGCCTGGTCGCCGTTAGGCGATGGCGAGAGCCCCATACGGTGTTGCGATGGAGGCGGACTCAGCGGACTAAGGTCGATCGCATCTCGGGACAAGAGCGGTGACGCTGCCGAGATTTGGGGCGAAATCGACAATTCGCGTCGTCTAGAAAGTGGCCTTTGCTGCTGAAGGCCTTGCTGTTGATGCTGGTCAACGATTGGAAGTGCCTGACGGGCCGGGGGCGGCAATGGACTGAGGCTACATGGACTACAACGGTTAATTGGTGACGGTGAACGTGACATCGGGTGTGGTGATAGCGGCTGTTGTGGCGATACCAAAGTCATGCTATGATGACCAGCAAGAGGTGGCTGTGGGCGTGAAGGAGGGGAGGCCAGGATAATCTGGCGAGGCGGTTGACCTTGCGGGAGGCACATGGTGCTTTGCAAGGTGGAAATTGGCGGCAGCGGCTGGTGGTGACTCCCTTGAGATTCGCCAAGAAGCTGATGTCCGGCCGGTAATGATGGTAAAGGAGGTGATGCTGACACAAGGGGTGACATAACCGAATTGCCTTGCTGTTGTGGTTGATGCTGTGTGACTAGGGAAGCATGATGATGGTTCAGTTGGTTATCGTCTTCCATCTGTAAATTGAACGAATCATAGAGACAAATAAAACTTATAGAGCGAATGAAGTTAAGTAAGAGGTAACGCCCTCAATAGTAACCGACTAGTCTAAAGTACACTAACGAAAACTATAAAAAGAGAAGTAGACAATCAAATAAAAAACAAAAACGAAGGAAAACTAGACAAGGAAGATGGAAGTATATTGAAGACCCGTTTTGAACAGCGGCCTGTATATATTATGCACGTGTATGTTCCGTCCATGCGTGATACCATCGCATGAAACGTGGGAAAGGTTTCAACTGGACAAGTCCAACCGAAGCTCATTGCTTAGCTGTGCAAAGTTACGAGTAAACTGAACAAAAGTGGACTCTCACAAGTTGTTTACCGGTTTGTCATTGAAGCTAACCGGACAAATGTCCCGTTTCTTGTACCTAAAGTGTTGCTCTGGCTACGTCCTATGAGTCCGGCCACTCGCAGGCCGATTTACCCTGCCAATGTGTCTGCTGATTTATTTACCGATTCTGGAACGGCTTCCGCTACGCCTGTTCCACTTGAGGCGGCCATGGCCTGCGGCGTAGCCTGCTGTATCCGATGTCGAACACCTGTTCCATTACTGCCGCCTCGACCCTGCTGTTTATTAGTAACGTAGAGTAACTGACGAAGCTTGTCGACTTCACTTCGTAGCATCCCAAGTTCCGTGCGAAGTTGAAGGTTTTCCTGTTCAAGGTAAAGCACTCTGAGCGTTGTCTGCTGTTCCTTAATGCGACGAAGTTCTCTGGAACGCTTGGCCGATTCGTTGTTTCTCTTGCGTCGCTCCCAGTAGGCTTCATCTTTACACTCCTTTGGAATAGGTGTTGGTAGCTTCTTTTTCTGGCCTGAACTCATTTTGTGCACCTGGAAAGGATGAGGCAATAGGACGGCTGAAATCGCAACGAAAAGCCTAACAAATGATCTATGTGTCCAAGGCATATATGGAATTTGCACCGTTACGTAATTGCCACTGGTATGGCTTTACTGCGATTCTAACTAATCATCGATGTTTGTTTGACAAAATGGTAAGCGGACGAGTCGATATGCCATTTGATGGTCAGTGACGTCAGCTGCGACCGACGTTAGTAACAAACTTGTATTCTATCGTAGAAAAGTACTTACCAAGTCATGGGGTATGTGCTGCGGTACGAAGGGTAGCTGATGCTGATTGAGGGGGTTTCCACTATGGTGTGTGGTATTGGGCAGTGTATGTGGCGGGGGTGACGCTGCTCCGTCGGACGAGTTAACCGACGAGAAACTGCTGTGTCTTCCTTTCGGGTCATTGGCTGCTAATAATATTCCGCCGCCGGAAACCCCGTTTGCAACGTGGTGTTGTTGTTGTTGCATCTGTAATACACGGTGTAAGTTAGTTGAACGACTGCATAAATATTGTTTATATTAAGAAAAATATAAGCTGTTCAATCGTTTTATTGTATTAGAATATTTCGATGATAGCCGTTATATGTGCTCTTTGAACTGTTGAGGTTGCCTGGGCGACTCCTTTGTGAACCCGGCGAACATGAACATTTTGTGAGGGGTATACATAGTACTTTTGTACGCCGCGTCACAACTCAGACCTCCATAACGGACGTGGACATGCCCCTCATAGACCCTAAAAGCTCATTCGCAGCTTAATATCAAACAACTGCATAAAGTTGCACACACGCACCTAGCTTTGTTGAGAAATCCCAGTTAGACGATAAGTCGAGTGCCATTCTTTGTCACTTTACCGCCGTTCAATATGGTATCGACAACATCGGTGGAGTTCGAAATCAACCACATTTATCTAGATGCCAACCCCAACAGATTTGTTGTGCCTAGGATATACGCCTTACCTTAAGAGTAGCATCGTAAACAACCGCCACAACAGCGGCTGATGTCTACAGTATCGTCTGCTTACGTATAAAAATTCTCGTGCTGCAAATCGCACAATCAGTGCGCTAATATAGTTGCGTAGTTCAACAGGTTATTTAATTCTTAGACATCATCGTTGCTGCTACCATCACTTTCAGTCTCTTCACTATGAACGCTGTGCCTGCCCGCCCGCCCCTCGCAGTTTGTTTCTTTGTCCGCTCGTCCGTTTGTTGTTTTGTGAACGCATGCGGACGTAACTTCGGTGCATCGAACAGGACTGTGCCGATACGTAGCATGATCAAGCGCGGCGGGTTTGTGCGGAGCGGAACGTAACTTAGTCATTGTCACAGACGGCGGGGCCTGTTCCAGCTGCGGCTGATACCAGCATCAGCGACGGGAGCCTGCCACCACTGTAAGGTGCGCCGTGTCCTTCGGTCTGCGTGACCGGCTGGGTGTCTGTTGCCCTTAAGAGTTTTGGGAGAGAGACGAGTCGTCGCTAGCGGTAGCAGCGGCGGCCGCAGCGCGTTGCGGTGTTGCGCTCAGGGACACAGGAGGAGCTCCGGGGGTTTTTCTCCCACACGACGGGGGTCAGTCTAGACAGCGACGGGGTTAGAAAAGGGGTCTAAGAGCCACTGGCAGCGGTGGTAACGCCAGTCTCAAAGCAGAAGCAATGGTGGTTGCCGGAATCATGCTCTTAACAAACAAGTGAACTAAGGCTCATACTAGGAGCGCGAGGGCGGCCTTATCGAACCCTATTTACCCGTGCCGTATTGACCAATACTAGCGGAACCAACAACGACATTACCAACGACGTCAACTATTACTATCATCACCACCACGATGAATATGACGGTAACAACGACAACATCAAATACGCAACCCTTCTTACCTTTTCCATCTTGCCGTATTCGTATAGCACCACCGTCGGATACCTCCTACATTCATTTGCGCGACTTTTATGACTCTTGACCCTGTTCCCATCGAGTGTTCCCCTTTGTAATGTTGTCGACTATCCGATCCAACAGATTTGAGTCTGCCCCTGCCCTTTTTTACCCTAGAGGTACCAATGCCCCTGCAGCCACAATTAACCACTACAATGCGAACAGGAATGCCGGAGGTAGCTTCAAGCAGCTACACGTTAAAACACGTCTTATTAATTTGACCTTAAAGGTGACCGATTTAGAGTTGAAATCGAGAAATACTACAGCGAGATAGGTATATCAAAATCGACCTGAGCTGCTCCTGCTGATGCTCCTAACGCAGTGCACGTAGATGCAGAATCAACGCATGTTTAGACGCATGACGGGTACTATCAGAGAAGCGCGGGACATTGCTGCTGCTGGGCTTCTCGTTATTTTTGACGGGTTTGTGGCGAGTAGTGGTGCCGCTATCGCATGAGACTTAACGGCTGTTGTTGTTTTCTTGGGGCTCTCTTCAATACATGTTTCCGTTAAAATAAATAGATAGTATGTTTTCAAAGAAAGCCATAATTTGAGGCGGTATTGTGTAACGGGGCAGAAAGCTGAGTGAGTGGAAATGGCCCGGTTAGCCGATAGGCCACCTGTCGTGACAAGCAGCTCGTGTATGTAATGGTTTTGACACCGACATTGTACCCCTTTTTCTAGCTACTACTCCTTTCTCTTGTCCTATGTACCGCTACTAAACTATTCGGCTCCAATTCTGAGCTCCTAAATACTGTATTGCATTCTTCCTCGTGCCGAACTTGGCCATACGTAACAAAAGGCCTGAGTCGACTCAGCAGGCACTCAGAAGCTGCTTGAAACGCTTTGGTTGCGCGCTTTCCCCACCCACTTGGGCAGCTGCAGTTCTCACCGTTTTCATACTTCTTTCTCAATACTGCCGATTGTAGTTCGGTTACAGCAATGGCCGATTGCAATAATAGCACAAATGTCACCCTTCAGGTTAGCTAGTCGGGCGGGGGTGGAGGCAACTAGTAGATCTACGAACTTCCTGATCTGTTTCAACTAAAAACGGCCATACACCGTATGGTGTGTTTTGTCGCAGCCTGATCTCCAGACCGACGGAACTAACCTCAGAGCAAATGCCTCAGCTTGTCCTAGTGTTGTTTTCTATATTATGTAGACGGCGTTTCTGTGGTCCTAGTCAGGCGATGCGAACAGGTTTTCCAGGCGCCTGTTGTACTGTTAGGAAAATATAACTCCAAATAATGTGGATAGAAAGTCATGCAAGGACGTATTCATATCTATTATAGATAAGTTAGTTGGTAGGGCTCAATAGTGGAAGAAGCCTTTACGTACCTGTTGCATGATGTGGTTCGTGCCTGGCTGGGCGAGCTGTGAAAGAAATGGAGGCGGTGGCAGAGGAGGGCCTGCAAGTCCATTGGACCTGCCTTGGCTTTCAATGGAAACATGGTTAATACCGTGTCCTCCCAGTCCATTGTGGGCGTTTGTGAGGAGCAATGATGGTGAACTTGACGATCCTGAACTACTCAACGGGCTTTCGTTAGTCATACGGTTCAAGTCGTCCCTGCAACGCGATAATGCAACGAATATAAAAGAAATTTAGACATGGAGCGTAATTTGGCTCGTCGTAGATTTGTTGCAGTCCTTTTGTTATGACAGTTAATATAGTATGCCTGCTGATTACGGCGATTATATAACACAAGACTAGCGAAAGGAGGCCTTTTTTTAAACTTTTAGGTGTTTTGATGTAACAGCTGATCAAAGCTTACTTGGAGCCGAGCTATAGCTATCATCGATGGTTTACGGTATCGTGAACGTATAGAGCGTCACTATTTCATAAACAGTAGCCAGAGCTCGCAGAAAGAAAAAGGGAATCTCTTAATGCTTAGGGTTTATGGCAGCTTCTTCGACTTGTAGAGACACCTCCCACTCGCTGCACAATTCGCTGCCAACATCGCACAGGCGAACTTGGTAAGGGGTGAGGGTACGGACAGCCGTCACGGAGATGCACTCAAAGGGCCCTCGATGTAGGGGAGAGACTCAAGCTGTGGGCCTTCTCTTGGTTAACTTGTTTACGTTTTTGCCCCGATGCAATGGGGTTGTATGTGGGCGGATGGGACAGGACCTTCTCCGGATATAAAGCGCTTCACCCTGCTGTCTCTAAATAGCCGGCGGTAAGTAACAGTACATAAATTGACTGCATACTAAATACTATGGTCGTTTTTCTCTCCTGTTGTTATCTTCCTCGTCTAATTCTCTTAGATGCATTCAAACATAGCACCCAGAGACGCGAATCCATGGAAATGTTTGCTGGAGCGTAGGTCTGAAAGTGATTCTATTGACAAGACGGTACTTCAACAGAATTCGATTTTCACTTTATCGAACTTACCGTGGTGCGTGAGGATCGCGCATGATGAGCTGTGGTGGAGGGGGTCCGTGTCCACGGTCGACTATCAGGTCACCTAAGGCCCTCTGGCGCCCACGCGTTGGTAAATCCATATTCATACGCTCCTATACACCAGAAACGAATAAAGAAAACAAGGGAAAAGTCCGATGTTATTCTAATAACAGTTATGCTATCAATATTGTCAACTTGTCACATACACCTAAATAACAACCCACGTGGCATAGTTGGATTCGTATGCAACTGTAGGAACTGTAAGCATCTTCAGAAATGCAAACAAGATTAATAATTATCCGAGTCAAAGTCATAACGATATTATATTTGTAGGCCATTACATAAGGAGGCGTGGTTGGGCAGATTGGTTATTCTAGGAGATTGTACAAGTTTTGCAAGCACGATGTCGGGTTCGCACTCACCGGTCGTTGTTCCCTAGTTGAGCCCCCCATATCATTCTTGATGACACTCATGTCAATCGCGTTACAATCATGATCTGTATCCGAATCGGACTCTTCGTATTCGGCATGGTATGCCGACGACATGGATCCGCTTCGCAGGCGAACATCCATATCTCCTGTGGAGGCTGAACTGGGCGGGCTGGCTTCTACGTGGACACAGGACAAGATCTTTGTATTAGCTTATTTAGTCGTTTCAACTGAGGAAATAGCACTTAGTAGTAGCACATGCTCGTCGCTGCCCAGAGCAGCCTCGCGTGTAGAAAAAAGGTGTCATCTCGAAACTTGTTAATTTGGAAGGTACGCTATTTGGGAGGCTGTGCTTGAGGTACGCTATTTGGGGGGCTGGGCTTGGGCTACGCTTGGACAATGTTAGGCGACAGCTGGATATCTTGACTGTGTGGCCAATTGTACCGTAACATAGGATGTCATTCAAGCTAGCTGCGTATCATACATCGCTGAAATATGTGGGTGTTTTACAATGCACAGATCGAATTAGCTCCAACTCAACCTTACGTCAACGTATCATATGGATTCACCAAGCTTGGCCACCGCTACTGCTTCGTACCGACTGGCTGTCAAGAGAGCGATAAAAATATCTGGGTCACTGTAACAGGATACGTCTTTAACTAGCTGAACGAAACAAGCCAATAATGAGATGATGCAATTTTAGACAGATCACAGGAGACCAATGGCGGGAGTCATTTATTTTCAGGAGGGGGAACGGTTGAGAAGTTAGGTCAATGTATGTACTTTCTGAAATTTTTAGTTCGGTTACATATATAATGTACCTCGGCAGGTCGAAATTGCTGGGACCCGTTGTAGAAAGCGGTGATCAACTTCGAACTTGTCGAACTTGTATCTGGCAACCTCCATTTCGGAGCTACACTGAATCATATCTCACCGCTGTGGAGCCACTGTTGTAAATAAGCTTACTTCTTTTTGTGCGAGTCAACGACGCCTTTTAATTCTTTGGTAGTTGTAAGCACTGTCCCTGTTATTTTACGGGTTGTTGTTACTCAGATAACAGCAGCTGCCGTGTTGTCACGAGTTTAATCGACGACAGCAAATGACGCACCGTTCGATTGGGGGGTGAAGCGTCGGGGCGTCGGTTCTAATATTACTCGTTGAATACTAAAAGTGTATACAATGTACCAATTTTATCGATCCCGATGCGCATCCACATCCACACAATCAGACGTCGTATCGTATTTTTCTGTATGGTATGGCACAATACGGAGTTTAGCCAGTCTTCTGTACCTCCGTGCTATTTTTCGCATATAATTCCAATCAAGTGATGCTGGTCACGCTAGTAACCTAGTCACTTCTGGCAACTTTTGATACTTAGCGCACGCGTTATCTGTCTCTGCTTCTTCAGCGTTCGCTTTTTTGTCTATCACAAGATATCACCGAGGTATCTTTCTGGCTGACTGGTCACCCGCTGCTGCTATTGTTATTGTTGCTTGTGGCTTGACGACACTGTTTATCTATCTATACTATTTAGCAAAGTAAACAGTGAAAATCGTTGCAGCTTATGAATAGTAGCAGCAATTTGTGCTCTACCCGTTCGCGCTGCCCGTTGCAATATCTTGGCTTGTCTAGTCCAGAATGATGAGGGTGTGACTAAGCGCAGGCGACTCTAGCCTGCTGCTGCTACCACTGCTGATGCTTCTGGCTTTGACGAAGGACAGGCGCCGACTATTGCGTGGCGGCCGTGGCGTCGTTTTGCGCGCGGCTGCCGCTATAGAGGGAGAGACATTGCGAAACCCTAACGCACACGGGGGAGGGCGCGTCACTCACCGCACTCAGACCATCAGAGAGAGATCCCCTGGAACCCCAGATTGCTCCAGTTACTCCAGTCGTTCCAGTTTGCCCCTGTCTTACATCCAGTTTGCCTAGCCCCACAGCCGTTTCTTAGTCCGCTTGCTACGCCCCTACCTCGCCCCAGCTTCGGCTCACATAACCCAACCAAGCTCGACAACGGCACCGCTGCTCCCACTAGCAGCAGCCGCAGCGCCGGTCGGCCTCTCTGGCGCTCCTCGTTCAGCTCCTCTTCCTGCTGGTAGGATCCACCCTGCTCGCTCCGAACCTCGGCCTGCCTTTCCTGACTCGCCTGCTAGCTTAGTACGTTCTCCCAGAAGCCATATCATGCTATTCTGTGCTATACTAGTCTGACGGTTTGCCCCTAACGGCGCGCTAGTACAGAACGGCGGCAATTGGACATTAACCCAGAAAGGGCTCATGCTGCTGCAGACCGCAGCATCGGTGGAGTCGTGTCGAGTGGACTCGAGGGTGAGGGAACGAGTGGATGGTTCACATTTGCCAGTGGCTGGCACCGCCCCGCGGCAGAGAGTCCCTGCAGACGCCAAAGGAGCGGACATAGGGTAAGAGGGGTTCGTTCAAGACTAGCGGGGTTGCGAAGACCAAGAGGCAGGGTAAGATGGATAGGGATGGTGTCTCCCCACTACTACCAACACCGAGTGGAGATCGTGAGGTTCCGCTGCCAGAAGAGGCTGCCGTTGCCACCGCCATTACCGCCGACCTGGAACTGTAGCCGCATTTCTACTACAACTAGCTACTCGTCTGGAATCAGCAGCAGCGTCTGTGGGGGTGCGCAGGGATAGAACAAGCCCAGTCAGCAACGGGAGCCCTAACGTCGGTCGGTCTGTCGGATACACCGCACTGCCGCGCCACTGGTACCACCTTCATCACGAACGCTACCAGCGTAGTTGGGTGTTCGTCTGCCTCATCGATCGGCGTAATCGTCCACTTCGACTGGGAGAGAGAAAAAAGAGGGAGAGACAGAGGCCAAAGCGCATCCGGCAGAGGCCAGCGCCGTGCGCACCCAACAGAGCGGCGACCAGAATAGCGAGCAACTCGCCGCTCAAGTCTGGAGCAAACGACAGACGTTAGCCCCACTATGGCCACCGCCGCCGACGTCGTTACCGCTGCCCTTCTCTACGCCTGCGCGCTGTTCCTGTCGCGACCTGAGCCCGTACTAGCTGCCTGGCATGCTGGAGAGCCCCGGGGATCATTTCCGTCTTACATTATCCTACCGCATCATACACTACTATACTATATAGCCTATCCAATTGCTTTGTTAGCTCTATCAGCGTGTCACTCCGCGCGCAAAGACCCCGCTCACTTCTCTGCCCCAGTCCAGTCGTCAGCGTTTTACCTTGACCCCGTTTCTCTAGACGGCGGTGGCTTAGCCGCCAGCAAGCAGCCAGACAGCCGAAGTAACAGCAGACGGTCCTACAATACACAGCAACAAGATCATCCATGGAGACGACGTCAACGATGCGGGGTGCCATAACGTCTGCGCTCTCTGCCTGTTTGTCATGGCTATTATTGTCTTCGTTGCTATCGTTGTTGTTATCGTTAATGGTGTCATCGTTGACGCTGGCGCTGTTATCAGCGTTGGCCTTGTTGATGCTGTTATGTTTTTTCTGATTTTGGCCATTGCGGCTACTATTGCAGCAACGCTTATGCCGACTAGGTAATCGTGCCCATTTCTATAGGCTAGTTTTATTGTTGGCGCTCCCGAATATCGCTATCACTAATACGAGGTTCTACCTAAAAGAATATCGACGACTAAACGATTCGAAGTAACATTATCATCGTGCAACAGAAGACCCTGTCAATGACTTAATTTCACGCGTTGCATGGATTACTTCACGACGAACTTTGCCAGCAAGCCGCTTATGCGTCGTATACAATTGTAAAAACATGCCAAAAACAAAGAAAGAAATTTTCTACGTTTGCATGCAGTATTCTTTGCTGTGTTATTCCATACTGTCCCGTTTCGTCGTGTCCCTTTACGCTATAAGCATGCTATGGCAAAAATACGTGAAACGGGGACAAAGTACGTAACGCTCGGTACACAGCAGAGCGTCTCGCCCACGCTTGCGCCACGCCCCCTCTCTCTTGCAATTTATCATCATCAAACCATGAAGATCGACTCATCATCAACGATGCTGTCGTCTCCGGCGTTGGATCCGCTGAGAGCGGCTGGTTATCGACGTCTTGCTCACCCAATCTGTTGGTAATACGCTGCTGGTGCCGCGTCGTCATAGTTCTAACAAGAGTAACTATCACGCTAGTAAGAATGCTTAACGACATAACTCATTACGGCTCGAATAAGCGAGCGAAAAAAAATATGCAGAAAACGGCAAAAGGCCTAGCAGCAATAGCAGGCGGCAGAGAAATGGTGGGCAAAGCAGTGGGGCGATTATGTATACGCTGGATTATGTTGTTCGGCCGTTAGGCGTGGCCTTCATGGCTACAAAGAAACATCGCAACAGCGAGGGACAAAAGAAACGGATAAGGGTGAGATAAGGGATCGTTAGTTGTAGCTGCTAAGCAATGTGCATTGAAGAGACGAGACTGTTGGCAATGACGTCGGCCTGCTGTGGTTGGCGTCGGTGGGCAATGACGACGCACAATAATATGCCTACATATCTCGGAGGCCGCGACAAGCGGCTGCGTAACGACGATTCTATTATTCGCTATTTATGTGTATCGATTTGCGAGCTTCGTATAGAGTTCGCACCTCTTTCGTTGAACCTATACCCAAAAAAAGAAAAAGGCCTACTGGAGTTAGCCTTTGAGACGCGTAATTAACTAATCGCTGGTGTTGACGCATTCTCATAGTTTTCTTTTGAGCGTCAGGTTCCACATTAGGACGTATGTAGGATGCTGAAAAGGTATGGTGCCGACGTTGCAGACTCGCCATTATTCAATTAGCCCTAGAAATTAGCGTCTAGACAGCAGTACGATGTTATTCTTGCAGCTTTCGTGGTCTGGCCTCTCGGTACAGCGAAGGTCGTGGTGACGGTCCAAACGGCCATAGCTGTGCCCATAGTGACGTTACGGCGGTCTCTTATTCGAGATTCTTGTTCGTATAACCTCTCCTAAATCGCTTCGTTGGATGATTTTGGGTCGCATGCTACCAAACCGTAATGCAGTCAAGGTTTGGTATACCAGGGTTTCGCATCTTTTCTGGCCAGGATCCGTTGCTTCCACCACGGACGAAGAGATTGACGGCAAAAGGAGTGGCATGAGCAATCGAAGCGTCGGCTCGAGAAAGACGGTACAAGCCGCTGCCGGAGGCCAGACGACAGGATAGGGGCCAAACTGGGCCTCACTGTTGGAACAGTGGCACCCGGGAAAATGGGAACTCCCGCTATTGGAAAACACCTCTCTGCACTTTCCATTTTGCCCTCTCCTAGCAGTAATAGTCACTCACGGCTGCGCTGGGGGAGGCTGGCGGGCAAATCCGTGGGGTTCGCGAGTTCCTAGGCCAGGGAAGATTGGGGTAGAACCTTCTGCCGTTAGAATGGAAGGCTGAGCCACGTCTGACGTAAACGTACTCTGTACAGACCATTCGGCCAGCAGCAGCAGGCAAGCCCGCCGGCCGATGAACAGGCTCGAAGGAGCAGAACTTCTCCAGTCCTAGACGGGACTGGTGGGGTTAGAATAGAAACGAGTAAGCACTCCCAGATGCGCAAGACGTGAGAGGTTCAATGGAACTTAACGGACGAGGCCGTATTCCTTCTATAGCTGCTGTATAGATACAGAGCTAGACGTCGAATTGTACGCGCTCCATAGTAGGCACCGGTTGCTGATGGTAGATTACAGACAGTTCGTGAAACTGGGAGATTTTTGCATTTCTAATTTGGGTTGATTCAAAACATTGTTGCTTTTGTCAGCTGCTGGGAGTAGCGTAAAGCGGATAGAAAAATCACAACTGCACATGGCAGAAGCTCAGAGACGTAAAGTGGAACTCGGTCTTGCTTTTGAGAACGCCACGAAAACGGATCGATAGCATACAAGTAGGAGTTTTGGTTACTTACATTATCAAACTACCAAAGGTGCCGTAGAAATACCGCTTGCGTAAACATGTGATTACAGGCATACGCTAAGATTACGACTTATGATTTCGAATGATATATAAATCGGCTTAGGTTGGCCTCTAAGGCAACTGCGGCAGTTTGCTAATCTTAAATGTAAAGACCGTTAATAGGAGAGGTTTAGTATTCCTACATGTTTATGAAGCCAGCGGTACTACTCTTTAGTGTGCTAGGGTTACGTAGAGTTCGAACGTTTCGCAAAGGCGAAACACAAGTATTGATAAATACTTTCGAATGTAGCTTATTCCATGTAGGCCATGTCAGTTCTGTATGTTTCATATAGACTCCTTGCATTCCCACGCCATATATGTCATACCATACTGTCCTTATCTGCTCAGTTCGGAGACACGCCTCAGCTCATAATGCAGAGCAACTTTTCAAACATGTCCGAGAGTAAGCCGAACCCATCTTATAGACTTTCAGCGTTACCATTGACATAGCGCGTGTGGCGGTCCAAGTACCCGCGTGCATGCTACCACAATATGGACGGACTAATATGAATAAACTTATCAAGTGTTATAGCGAAACACAATCTAATAAAATCGGCTGGTTATTTTAATTTATCAAAAACCTTGTTTAGAGTATTTTTTTCGTCCTTTTTTCGCCCGCCTACATTGCCTAATAGTACTGAGTCCGTACGTCACGCGAAGCTTGATTGTAATACATATTATATAG